TAGTAACATATTACAGTTCCATAACTTGCCCAACACTGTAAATCAGAATCAAAATTAATTCCAATTCAAGACAAGTAATGCTAGAGGGCGCCTCAATGACAGTAGAAGGAGACACACACACATGCACATCCAAATATCTCATTATATTTTATTTTTCAGAGCCGCTGGTACACAGCAGCAGAAGGGCAGGGAGGCACAACTAAGCAGAGTGTCAATAACATAGTATGATTACAGCAAAATGATGGTGAATGTTGAGAAATACACAGATAATGAATAATTACTCTATAATCAAAATCAATAAAGAAACAAATGAGAACTGTAGGAGAGCTTTGATGCTGCTGTGCAAAAAAAAGAGGTTTCGTGGGACACGTGATAGTGGAACAGTAATTACCATCATCCTTATCAACAATTTCTTTTTCTTTTTGGTCTCAGATAACTGTTAACCTACATACATATATGCAAAAATACTATATATTTAATACAGCATACATACACCCACCTCACAGACACACACAACTATAAACGCATGCACAACCACACAAAAAAACACCTAAACACACAGAAAAACCCACATACTGTGGTTCTAATGACTGCATAATACTGTACTTAACTATGCTTTCTCTATTATATGCATAGTTTGAACACCGTATCATGTCAGATCACAATATATCATAGAAGAACAATAGGTAACAGGAATCAATTCACAAGATTCATTGTCAGAGGATGTAATCATTCCAGCCCTCTCATTCATAAAAAACTCACTGTTTCATGTCTCAACCAATAATATCTCATTAGAGATTAATACAGATCAGCGCTTTTAATTAGCCATTCCACCCACACAATCGCTGATAAAAGCCTCTGATCTTGCCTGTTGTATGCTGGCAACCGTCTATATATACTGTATGTGTGTGTGTGTGTGTGTGTGTGTGTGTGCCTTCCCTGTAGTAAAAAAATGTCAGCTTTACTCCCACCTACAGTCTTCATTGCTGCTCAGTGTACTGCATTGAATCAGCCCTACTTTTTGTTTGTGTGTGTGTGTGTGTGTGTGTGTGTGTGTGTTCTGCCCATGTTTGTACAGGCCTGTATGTGTGTACATCAATACACTTGTATATATTTGTGCCTGCTACATCATAATCCAAGCTTTTTCATCACCTCTTTGTTTACAGTATTACTTTGAAGATGGCAGCAGTGTGTATGTGTAAGTGGATGTGAATGTGTGTTTGCATATGTAATTCTATGTGTATCTTTGTGAGAGCCATTTCATAATCTGGTTTCTAAAGCATCACTTTCTGTGTTTACCATGATGTCACTTTCATGAGTTTTTCCTTCAGGCCAAGAAAAAAAAGACGCACGGATAAGTGCCAAAGCTCAGAGAAATAAGCAACCATTTAGAATCACCTCTATCTCAACATCTCAAACAACACCATCTTGATGGATGACAACAGACCATGAAAATAACTCCTTTGCCTTGAGGCTACAGTGACTGGCACATCCCAAAATTCATCAAATGCCTTCAGTTTTTCACAGGACATGCTGAAGTGCACCACAGAAGTATAAATCTATGAGAATCCATTAAAGAAATATCCAAACCAGTACCCACCAGCTGACCATTCGTTTTACCTCTTCCCCAAACAACAATTGTCTAATCATAGCTTAGCAACCATAACCAGGAAAGGCAGGCCTGTCAAGTTTAGATTTTTTAACATGCTAAAGTGGTGTGCATGAGTATGGAGTAAGAACAATACTCAATACTATGCATTTACAGAGTTGCAAGGTATTGCTCTTGATACCCTGAGGGAGTCTCCAATGCGTTCTCATCTCAGTGCGTCATTACCAACGCTTTCAGACAGCGTGACAAAGCGTAATTATTTTATGCTAAAGGTACCCTTCAGCGTCCGTATGAAATGCCACTGTTTGCTACGCCACAGCAACACAAAGGAGGCTAACCCTACCTGCTAGCACATCAGCTGTGTCAGGGAAATCCAGACGACATGCATAAAGTCAGTGTTTTAGGTTCATCCACCAACATTTCTGATGGTTGTGGTAAGGATAGGGGGCTTTGGGGGCTCTCAACACCTTTAACCCAGAGCAGTTCATACAGACGCATCCAGGAGTGTCTCATAGAGACGCACCCGGAACGTCTACTCAAATACACTTCACTTTTTATGAAAGCATCAGTATTGGACGCCCTGACATTGAGAACGCTCTAGAGTCTTGTTTTAGCTTTTCCCAAACTAAAAACATTGGTTGGTATGTCAGGTTATCTGGTTTATTACCTAGTAAGTGAGCTCTGCTTCCAAGGCACATGTCATTAAGTAGCGTTAACTTGGGTTAACTAGGTTATGTTCATAAAAGCCCAGTTAACAACTAGCTTATGTAGTGTGTAGTAGTTCTGGGTATTTACAGTAATGTTGGTAGCTCTTTCCTGGTTTTAATTGGATTTCAGGAAGTTTACACTCCCAGCAACACCAGCAAACATGGCATTACATTCATAACACCCATTGGTTAGTCTTCATCCTAAATGCCTTTTCTCTTGTAACATTAAAAGAAAAACATTTTGTTTGAAACTTCTAACGATCAGCCAAACAGGGTTATGTTAGAACATAATAACCATCTTATTTTACATTTTTCCTTATACTGTAATACTAAGACTAACTAACTTCACAATGCAGACAAGAATGATGATCTTTATTCAGATGTCTTTGTGGATCATCAGCTTGTGAGGATGATGAATTTTGTCCAGGACATGAAGCTTTACCCTCTTTCTTTTAACAGTGTGTGTATTTAGCCATCAAGTTCTCATTTTATATAAGTAAGTCTGAGACAGAAAAGAATCAGTCAGTTTTTTCAACCAATTTGTGAAACTAAAGTAAGCTTAATTAGCTAGCTAGCAGCTAATGCCAATAGGAGCTGGAAAAATAGATAGTTACAAGCTAGAAATGAGATGCCTGCTTTTTTTCTTTCTCTGTCTAAAATCATGTCACCATTGTATACAAACCTGCCGACATTATCATTGTATGCTGTATATGTGCTGTGGGAGAATGGTAAGTTTGACAAGCAGTACTTCCTGTTTACACTCTACGAAGACACTGGGTTCAAAGTTTGAAAAACCTCTAATAAAAAACTTTGTGCTCTTAATTAAAAAGCTTAAAGCTGTTGTGTCATCAGTTTTATTTCCGTCTGTGCCATATTTGGGTTACCTGTTCCTGCTGATGCTGTCCATCAGTCAAGGCTAGACATGGTGAAAGGCTAGCTAAGTGGTGTTAATTGAGCTGGTGTCCTGCAATAATAGTTTCATGCAATGAAGTCATTTATCAGCACTGCTCTCAAACAGCAGAGACAAAAAGAGAGTAGAGAGGGAAAAAGGGGGGTCATGAGAGACAGTGGGGGAGGGACTTTAGTCACTCCAATATGAGGTTGGAGAAAGAGATTTATGAATAGAAAGATAGGTGAAAAAAGAGAGGTTTACATGTCAAATAGCTTTCCATTCAGCCATGGCTAATAGTTTCCAGCTGATTTTGTCTGATACCAAGACATACACAAACCAATACAGTATTCTGTATTTTATATTTGGCAAAATACTGGCTAACATGCTAGAGCTTGCATTCAGTATTGCCACTCTGAGCAATGTGTATGTGTTGTCTGGACTGCATTTGAGTCACCACATAAACAGATGTGCACATGCAGTATTTATCGGAGCGAGCAAAGGTAGAATTGTTTTGCTTTCAACCTGCACCTATCATGCAAAATTTGGGTTACTTCTTCAGAGAATTAATTTGACTTATTTCTTTGTTTCAGTGTAGGCTTTAGGTTTTGTCAGTGGATCGGACTGAAGAGCGTACTTGGCAGCGTCCAAGTGTGAATGTGTGTAACTTTGTGAGAGTGAGCTGAGTGTTTATGAAAAGTGATACATCCCTGGTTAGATAAATGTTAAAAATGGACTCTTTTTTGCAGTATTACTGCACCTATTACACCTTCTATGGTGGCCGGCATGGTGAATTGTACAAACAGATTAGCCTTTTTACAAGTATTGGCCATGTGTAAATGAGTCCTGTTAATTTTCTAGTCACTTGAATGTATCAAAGTTTAGTCTACCTAATCTGAACACTGCACTCAACACAAGGTCTGAAATACATCAGTCAACCTACAAAAATACACAAGAAAACCCCCCAGAATGATTTGTTTCCCCTTGAAGGTGTGACAGTGATATAACAATAGCTATTCAGCCCCACTGTGTTTCTTTTTCAAGCTGTCAATCACAGAATAGGCATTTTTCATATAACGGATATCTTAATATTAAATTTAATTCTTTGACTGGGGTCCTTGGAGCTTGCTTTGAGCTGTAACAGTTTGTGAGTCAAACTAGTGGTATTTCCTGTATCAGGGCTATTTTTAACTCATTTAATTTGTTTTCCTCATGCATTGTCTTGTTTTTGTACCGCTCACATTTATACATAGTTGCTGAATCACTTTTTCTCTGTTACCCAGTTAAACTCTGTTTGCTATCTCAGTTTGATTTTCACAACCATGGGAAATTGACATATCACCCACACTGATTACATTCAGTCTGTCTTTGTTAACGTTTTTTTTTTATGTATCAAGTTCATGACCATACATAACCATGCACCGGGGTCAAGTATCACCAATCACATTAGCAACAAGCTAAAAATATTGGTGTGTTTGTTTTGCTGTTGCTGGTTTTACCCTACTGACACAAACTAAACTCACACACACAAATAAGATAACCAACCATACAAAGACAGAGCAATTACCAAGTGAATGGCAAATTTAGCATGATGCATGGGTCAGTGCATTCTGCTGCAGCATGTCAGTCGACCGGGTGTATGTGTACTACATACTTGTGGTTTCATTTGTTCTTTGTTGCAGAAACTGTCATTGTGAAAACAACTAAGAATTCACATTGCTAAAATGCAGACTATTAACGGTCGTATGGCTTTGATTTTAGGCACCCTCAAATACAAAAGGAATAAGCTACCTACCTCTCTGCTGTGGAGTAGGCCTTTCTCTGACACATCACCGCCAATGAACTGCTTCCCGGTGCCATTTCCTGTTTGATCTCCCACGCGACGAGGTTGCTGGGTTTTACAGCCAGGAAGTTGATGCCTGACTGGAACCACACCCTGCATAGAGGGATGAAGAGAAGGGAAGAAAAGGGAAAACAAGGTTAATCTAAAGTTCACATAAGCACATCATAAACAAGCTGAGTTGTCACAGTGACAGTTCGGGGGAATTTGCTTAAAATTGAATTTGCTTCGCTTGGAATTTCCCTGCCCCGATTTTCTCGCTGATTTTGTTTAATCCCTGATACGTGCCATACTCTCTTTGTCTAAAATGTCTTTTGAAATTGATTCACGCAGCATGGTGCCGCCTCCCACAGTATGTTTTGGTGGGGGGAAACAAAGGAGTTACAAGAGAAGCTCTTATAAAAGTTAACAATTTTACCAGAATAAGTGGTGCATGGAGGATCAGATGATTATACCTAATGCACAAAATGTGATTTTGCAAAGGAGAAAGGCAACAATGAACTGCCAGTTTCCTAGTGATATGATCTGAGATTTTGTTTCTGTTTATTCTGCACTCATCTCTTCTTCCACTCCCTTTCAACTGCTTCTTCTTCTCCAACTTATTTTCATATTTCCTTCACTTTTCCATTAGACTTCATACCCCTTCCCTTTTTCCCAATCCTTCAGATTCTTGTCTTCCACATGTCCTCCATGTTTCTGTTCCTCTATCCTTATTTCACGTATCACACTCGCCTTTATTTTCCCTACCAGGTGTCCTCTTTCATAACTTTTCCCCACCTCCTCCTAAAACTTTTCATCCTTTTCAGCCTTTCATCCATCCCTCTGTGATTTCCTTCTATTCCTTCCACCCTTTCTTCCTTGCCTATATTTCTTATTCCATCCCTCCCTCTGCCCCTCCTCCATTCTTCAATCTCGAGGCATCCTATGGTTAATCTCTTTATTTTCTTTCCTCCCTCTCCCTCTCTCTCTAATCCGTCCCGGTGTGTTTTGTTCTATTTATCACCTTGACAAGACCCTCCCTCAGTTTATTAACACGCTTTATAGGCACGCATGCACGCTTGTTTACGGCATTTCTTATTAACACACATACAGTTGTTTCTGGCAAACAACAAATATCAACACAGCCGTACTGTCTAATAAAGTTTTTCCTCTACACAGAAGGGGGGAAAAAAACTGCCAATCTTCTTTGTCTGCTTTCTCATTATTACTTTCTTGTGTCTGTCTTGCTTCATGTCTTGCCAAAAAACTGCCTGCAAATATGTCATGACGGTCCCTTGCCATGCTCTCTGTACATATGTTTGTGAGTGTGTATGCATTTGTGCACCTGTGTGTGTGCATGTGCTGTATAATAATCTAAACAAGATGCTTATTGGAGTTTAGCGCAAGGGAACAATCCTCTTGTGAAAACTTGAAAACCCACTTTTTTCTGTTTCACTCTGAACTCATTTTCCATGTTTTTTCTTTGTATATATATGAAGGGAAAAAAATGTTTCCTTGTTTGCCATTGTTATGTGATTTTTTTTGTGCTACGGTTGGGAAAAATGAGGGAAAAGGAAGTGTGAAGTTGCAAAAAAGTCTGCAAGTAAGGCAGTGTACACATTTTTGAGTCTGGCGTGTTCATGCTCCCAAGTAAAATACTGTGGGTGTGTGTGTGCGTGTGCACAGCAACACAGTATAAAATAACGGGCGGCCCCCAAAAAATCTCTTTTATAATTCACCAGCTGAATGTTGCATAAAATAAAAAATCTCTCAAAAAAAGCTCACCAACATTGTTTTGCTTCCTGTTTCTTTCACTCCATCCCTCTCTCTTTCTGTCTCCTCTGTCTACCTAACCCCCCCCCCCCATTCTCCTAAATAGAGATGCATTCCTTCAGAAAAACCAAACCAGAACCCAAACTGTGACAGGCGTAAAACTGCATCCAACATTAGGCCAAAGTCACCATTATTACAGAAAGTAGAGAGGCCTGTCACCAATCATTTTGACCATGACTGCCAATTATTACAAGTGACATATGAAAAGTTACAGCAAAACACTCCAACAATTATCTATGTCAAAATATGCAGAAAATATCTATTTTCTGTGCAATTATAGGGTATTTAAATTGGATAATTTCAAGAAAGCACAGATCAGGATAGACGACCTTTTGATGTCACTTTTCTTTCGTGTTGCTTCACTGCAACTATGAGATTGCCCTCACCAGAGAACAGCATTTGCAGCTTCATCAAATGCTTAATAAAACCTGCATTCTCCTGACAAGCAACTTCTTGCGGTGGTGCGAGGGGTCATATAAAATAACTATGCTTGAAGAGAAAGGTGGAGAGAATTATCACTTGATTCTGCATTTCCCCTCAGTTTGTTGGAGCATTTTAGTGTCTTTCAGGTCACTGTTTTGGTTTTACAGTCTGCAACTTTAACTGTTTTAGTTAACTCTCAATGCTCTCATCGACCTCGTTTCTAGCCCAGGCAGGCAGCTGTTTTCAGCAAAAGAGCTCTAATAAATCTGTTGTACGCTGCCCAGCACCGCAAATAAGGTTAGCATAGTGGAGCATTTAGCACTAAAGAGCCAGCCATTTCTCTCAGGAGTTGGTGGAGACCAAAACAGGGAAGGAGAGTGAATACTGAGTTTGCAGAAACACAATTCCAAGTAAATGCTAAGGTGTTTCTGTGTGTGTTGGATGTGTAAATAGACATCTACGTTTAGCCACAATATTTCTATACTAGTTTCTCTAGTAGATTTAGTTCCCTAGATGTCTTTTTTACAGAACATTTAAAAAATATCTATTCAGTTGTTAAAGGGTCAGTGTGTAATATTTAGGAGGCTCTACTGAAAATAATAATAATATCCATAACAATGTTTTTAGAGGTGTATCAAGACCTTACATATTGAACCGTTAAATCTTTATTGCAAAAAGAGAAATAAAGTGTACATGGGACATAAAGAAGTATATAGAACTTTGATTTGTGCAAAATCACATATTGTATAAACATATTTTGCAAACTTGCAAATTTGTAACATGGTTACAACGGTTAGTTTACCGTCCGTGTAGAGTGAACTAAACATCTGCATGTTGTTTATGTACTCTGATAATGTTAATCCAACACATCTTTGTTGTAGTGTCCATGCTGAGCCACATTCCGACTTAAGAGCACATAAACACACACCGAAGGCGGAAGAGCAACTTCACAACTCAGGAAATGGGACCATCCGAGGAGCACGTGAGTGCACCATGAACCACTGGTTGCAATTTGCAACCCTCACCACTAGATGCCAGTAAAACTTACATACTGAACCTTTAATGTATGAGGACATGTTGCAAAAACAGAATGTATTGTATGTATGTTTTTAAACTTTTTTGCTTGTATGACTCTTACTGTGTGTAAAAAGAGAAGTGACTTTTTTCCTTACTCTTACCTTAAGTCTCAAAATAGCCGTTATTTCACAAAAAACTGACATTTATCTGCAAAATGCGAGACCCTGTACACAGGATAAGCGGTTGACGATGGATGGATGGATCTCCAAAATTAAAGACTTTTGGCTTTCTATAAACAACCCTACATCCCTTTTAACTCTTCGCGATGTTCTGCCAAGGGTCTAAAACCCTCACGTCAAAAACAAGTGTAGTGTTCAGTCAAAAGGAAAAGGAGTGAATATAAAATGAGTCTAGTCAGAGGTTGTCTGTGTCTGTTAGTGTTTACCCCTTAAATTCAGAGATAATAGATAGATAATTGAGGGGAAAGGTAGATTGATTTAGCTTTATGCTTTGGACAATGAACATACATAACCTCAACCCACACATATGTAAGAAAAGAACACTGCTGTCTCTTGGTGCATCTGTCGAGACTTATACATGTGTGTGCTTGCCTGTGTGTGTTCATGTCTGTCAACAAGCAGGATGACGGACAAGGCTGCGTCCCTAAGCTGCTTCTGTCAGATCTGTGTATAGCAACAGAGCCTGACAAGTGTCTGTCTTTTTTTCTTTGTCTGTTTTTTTAGGTTATGCAGGAAGACAAGCAAAACTTCTCCCTGTACTCTCTATCTCTGCCTTATTCCTATCTCTTTTGTTGTTGGTTTCTGATAAGTCTCAACAGATATACCTCTTGAGCCCCGACGCCCCCTGTACCGGGGGCAGCACGCGATTTTCGTGCAAAATGCAAATGGGAAATTCATGTCTGAAACTAGTATTGCATCACCCTAACCATGCTACACACCTCTGTGAAGCAAGGAGGCTCAGCTAGAAGCTCAAACCAACCATGAGATCAGCTGTATAGCTCACATCACTCAAATAAAAAATTACAGACTAATTAGCTGGATAACAGTAACAACAAATGTGCCAATATACATATTCAATTACAACCGCTGTCTTACTTGAGCTGTTTTCGCCGTTTTCAGTCCAAAAATCAGCTGATTTGTTTCTAAAAATATTTCGGGCACCATCTTGATTATTGTGAAATTCCTTGGAGCTGTGTGCCTGCATTATCTTGCCTTTTTTTGCTTTGGAATACACAGTCTTTATTGCGGTCTGGTGGCCGACCCATAGTCGCTACATCGACATCCATGGTATCAAATAAAAGTTCTGCTCAAACTAGATCAATTGATGCTCCCCCACCTCCTTCCATGGACGTCGCCACGTTGCATCGTCATGTTTCTACAGTAGCTGAAAACAGACAAACAGCGCTACAAAGTCACTACGTTCTTCTTGTTCTACTTCTGGTAGAATTGAGGCAGTGCAGACAATTATCACTATGTTGAATACACAAGTTAGAAGAAGAAGAAGTATTAATAGTATACAGCAGGGGTTGGCAAATATGTTTTGCATCGGAGCAATATTTTCAAAAAGAATATGGAGCCATAAAATTGACTCACATCAACATGTGGTTTTGGTTAGGTAAGGTGCAGGACTTGCAACCTAAGGGTTGAGTCTTTAATCCCACCTTGGGACAACTTTTTTTTCTCTCTTCAACAATTGGATACTGCAACAAATGTTTCTCAGATCACGGCATGCGCTATTTTGTTTCGGTATTTGATCCATCAACCTACGGACACTTTTACAGTTCCCCAGTATCTCCAGGCAGAGGACATTTAGGAGAATCACGA